CCTGTATAGGGTTTCCGAGGAGAAGCTGGTGAGCTTGAACCACTGACCTTGCAGTTCAAACAACTTTGCAGTCTAGAGCATTAACCCACAGCCCCACACCAGGACTCCATATATATGTTGTTGTTAAGTACCGTGGAGTCGGTTCTGACTCATAGTGACTCTGCACAGGGTTTCCGAGGCCCAGGATGGGGCAGTGTTTCGTTCTGCTGTACATAAAGTAGCTATGGGTCAGTATCAACTCAATGACACCTAGCAACAACAACAGCAAATCTTTACGGGAGCAGAACACCTCATCTTTCTATCGTGGAACCACTGGTAGTTTCCAACTGCCCACCTTGAGGTTAGCAGCCCGATTCGTAACCACTAGTTACCAGAGCTCCTTTTCATATATATATAATAAAAAGAGGGAATAATGTAGTTACAGAACATCTCAAAGAAGAGGAAATAAGATAGATTTCAAGAAAAAATAAATACAAGTAAAGCTAACTGTGTGGTGCTGTGGGTTAATGCTCTGGACAGCAAAGTTGGTTTGAACTGCAAAGTTGGTGGTTCAAGCTCACCAGCTGCTCCTTAAAAAACCTAAACAGGGTAGCTATGCATCAGAACTGGCTTGATGGCACTTAACAGCAAAAACAACAATCTTAACAACCAGACCAAGCCTTACTCCTAGCCCTAGCCCAACCTCTTACCCTTAATGCTAACCCTAGTGTGAACCATAGATTTGTAATTCTCAAATTAACACTTTTATTGGTAAACTTAAAATTGTAATAACCATGACGTTGTTAAGTGGCATCAAGTCGATTCCGACCCATAGCGACCTTGTATAGGGTTTCCAAGGAGGAGCTGGTGAGCTTGAACCACCGATCTTGCAGTTCAAATGGCTTTGTAGTCTGGAGCGTTAACCAACAGCACCACACCAGGCTAAAGTTCAAACTATGATTTCACAGAGTAAAATAACAGTGTCTAAAAGCTTCATGTTTATAATAAGTGTTTCTATGTTCTTGTTCACATACAACCTAAGGTTTATAGAATATAGCTGTTACTAGTGTTGTTAAGTGCCATCTAGTTGGTTCTGGACCATAGTGACCCTGTATTAGGGTTTCCTGGTGAGTTTGAATGACTGACCTTTCGGTTCAAACCAACCTTAGGGTACAGTGCATATCCTATGGCACCACTAGTCACTGCTTATGTATAGACAAAGCCTCATGGTGTTTGTTGTTCTTGGTACAAGGTGTTTCAGATTTTGGTCTTGAGGATTGTTTGAGACCATTGGGCTAGTGTTAGTGGGATTTCTTCTCTGCTCCTTTTGAACTTTGTGTCTCACAAAGAAATTGATGCCTAGAAGCCCTTTTGATGCACACCGTCATCCAGAGGGGCTACTGAGGTTTTGCTCTGTGCATTGTGTTCTTCTAAAGGGTGTAATTTATTTTGTTTGATCAAAAACAAAACAAAACAAAAAAACCCACCAGACTAATGGCAATAAGTAGGTACTGATCATTTGGAGTTGGAATAATATTGATCAGTTGTCATTTTGCTTGGTCTCCAGAGCAACATTGTTATGGGATGTCTATCTAATGGTCTTAATTGGGCTATTGCCCTCTTGTTGCATTTTTTGAATCCAGGCCCTCAGGAGTGTATCTAACCTCAGCTCAAGTCAGTTTTTTTTTAACAGACCAAGTAGTTCCTTCAATGTAGCTTTTCCATACAGCTGTGGTAATGAAAGAATTTCTGTGGAGATTCACAATCTATGCAGGGGGTGATATGTGTACATGGGGTGATACACATAGAAAATTATCTTGGGAGTCATGTGGACTGCTTCTGAGAGTGTGACTCATGACTGTTGGTAGAGAGGGGCAGTTTGCCCTTGGGAAGAACCTTCGGAATGTTTTAGATAGACCCTCTACAAGAGGACTCACCTTATGTTCTATAGCTAACTATGCATTTTTCATAAATGAGATTGATTTGATCCCCAAGATTATCTGATTTCATCCCAAAATGTTATTGGTTGAAAAAAACATCAGTCAGACTAGATTGGAACCTTGCTAGAATAAACTGAACTTTGCTGTGTTTAAATTTAATTTGTCACAGTTGAAAGCACTAGAACATTCCTTTTCAACTTAGAGCAGAAGCGTCCTAGTGGACAAGAACAGAAGATGGGCATTATTCCCAAGATCTTGGACTTCTGAGGTCATTGGATTTTGTTCAAATCTCTTGTTTTTAAGGTTGCCTTACCTTGGCAGTTTGGGTTTATGGACTAGTAAAAGATTTGTGCTTAATATCTATTTTTATATCCTCTGCTTTTGTATTACATGCCTTAGGTTTCTATAGACTAATTGGTTACCTTTAGTGAATGAGTCTTCTATGAAATCATTAAGTAAATATGCTGCCTATGGAATAAGCCATCGCATGGGTTATGTCATCTTCATGAAGAGTAATAATATTTTAAATTTACATTCTGCTTCATAGTAAGCTTTTGTTGTCAGCATGTTAGTAAGGAGAGATGGCTCTGACAAAGGTGATGTGCATTTGGTTCTGCTCAATTCTACAACAAGCTTAAAAGGCATGTCACTCTTGTTTGAAGGTCTGGCAAAGAGGTCAGATGGTATCTGGTGAAAGACGACCATGAGTTGAATGAGCTTGGTGTAGTTGCCATGTAGGGGCCCAGGAAAAAGCACTCATTGATCTGACTGCCCTCAATCTCTAACAAAGAGGATGCTTTAAAGCATGAAATCTGAAGGCATTTGGCCTGCAATGGAGTCCAGTTAGGCAGAGCTTAATTCCATCTTGTGCTTAGACATAAGCATTCAGATGCCAGTTTTTCTTGAGTACTTTATGCACTTCTGATGGTTAAACTGTCCAAGTCACAAGCAGAGTGAGTTTGAAAGTACGTTTTAAACCACTTCCCTCAGGTGGCAAAAGAAGAACAAAGTCTCCCACAGGAGAAGCTTTCTTAGGAATTCACTTTGATCTTTTGTAGTAAAAGCAGGTGGTGTCTGTGATGTCATCACTAAGACATGGCTGGTCTGGAGAGGTAGAACTAAGCCAGAAAACCATTTTCCTACTTTGGGTTCTTGGTTATTCCAGTTCTCAACCTTGTCATTATAGCAATCCTAAGTGTGATGCTATAGGATAAGCACTGGACCACAAGGCCAGTTTGAACTGCAAGAACAGCAGTTCACACCCTCCATCCACTCCTTGAAAATCCTATACAGGGTTGTTGAGAGTTGGAACCCATTCAATGGCACTTACCAATAACAACAGTTTATGCCAGTGTTTCCTGCCTAGTTAGGATAACCACAACTAAGAGTACCAAGCTGCTAATATTTTTGCATTGACTTTTACTGTCATCCTCTACAAACTGAGAGAAGCCACCAAATCCAATAAGAAATTGCTGAGTTCAATTGGCTTACAAGACTCCAGAAACCAGTAGTCAGACCAGAGCATCACCATACCTACCTAGAATGAGAAACTAACAACAAAAAAGCATGGGGGAACTGAAGCCACAACTGACGAGGTGCCTCCATCTTGTAAGGAGAGAGCTCATTAGTGCTAACCTGTGCTGTCATTCAGGTTAATCAGCATTTAACATCCACCCGATAAGAGTCCCGGTGTGGTGCTGTAGAATAAACATGGGACAGCAAGGTTGGTGGTTCAAACTCACCAGTCACTCCTTGGAAACCCTATATAGAGTTGCTAAGACTAGAAACCAACTCAATGGCACTTTACACACATATCAAGGACTATTATCAAAATATAGAAGTTCCTGAAGTTCCTCTGAGGGATCAGCACAACTTGAGATACAAACATTGAGGAAGTTTCTGAAAATCCTTGGACCTCCATCCTCTCTGGAGGACATACAGTATCCATGCTTCCAGTATATAAGATATATATTGAACATTTCTTGCTTTACCAGACCCGTTTTCCAGTTAGAGCCTTTTCTCAAAGTAGGCAGCAGAGCCGCCATTATGCAGCTTCAATCATGTAAGTGCCACATTGCATCATTATATAAATTGTCAAACCACTAAGAATCATGACCCAACCAAGTTGACATATATAATTTTTTTTTGTGTGTGTGTGTGACATAATTAAAATAAATGCCCTGGGACAACAATCTGATTTTCAAGACTGGAAACTCTAAAAGCTGTTGTTGTTGTTAGGTGCCTTCCAGTCAGTTCTGACCCGTAGCGACCCTGTATAGGGTTTCCGAGGAGCCGCTGGTGAACTTGAAACACCAACCTTGCAGTTCAAACGACTTTGCAGTCCCACACATTAACCCACAGAGCCACACCAGGTCATAGTCAAATTCGAATCAATTTATAACGTAAGGTATTATTCTACGAGTCCTTCCTTCAACAGCCCCTAAAAACAGTTGTGTGTCTTCATATCCAGTATTTCACTTGACTTAGATCAAGTTTTTGATGGAGGTGATGATGGTTATGTGCCGTGGAGTAGGTTCCGATTCACAGCGACCCTGTATAGGGTTTCCGAGGAGCGGCTGGTGAGTTTGAACTTCCAACCTTGCAGTCAAGTGCGTTCTCCCACAATGCCACACCAGGACTGCACCACCCTAGGTCATCTAATTCTCATTTCAAACTTTAATGATGGGTCTAAGTGTGATTGCTTGTTTTGTAACAAAAGTTAAGTTTCCTAAAATTTCCTAAGGTCTGCCAATTTCCGCGTTTTTCAACTGTGAAAAACGGCCATTTAGAATGGTAGCTCCCGCCTCCACACTGACTTGTCCCTAAACCGACGTTAAAAACCACGGTCGGCTTTCACGGCCTCGAGCCAGGTGTCCTCCGCGCGGATACGGGTGCAGCTCCGGTACCCGAGTTCGCGGACCAGAGGGATGCAGGTGATGCCCCGCAGCCGACGCCGGCCCTTTCCTGGAACGTAGGGCCCGCCCCTCCACGCGCGGCCGCCGATTGGCCGGGGCGGCGCCAGGCGTGACGCCAGCCCCGCCTCTCCCTCCCGTCGGCCCCGCCCCGCCGGGTGGCCTGGCGGTTTGGTCTTGAGCAGCTGAAACCGGTTTGGAGCGGAGCCTCTTCCTAGCGCTCTGCGCCGCCGCGGGCCGCCTAGGGGAGCGCTGGCGAGGTGGGACGGCGTGTGCCGGCACCTCGGCCCGCAGCCCTCGCTGTTCAGGGCGGCGGCGCGAACCCGCGGACCCGGCAGGTGAGCGGGCGGGCATGCGTGCGGGCGGGCGCTCACGTGGCGGCCGAGCTGTCAGGCGGGAGGGTGGGTCCCCTGCCCGGCGCCCCCGCGGGGACTCGGCGGCCTAGACGGGCGCCCGGGCTGCCGGCGCGAATCACGGCGGCGGCTCATTGTTAGCTGCCAGCCCTCTGGTTCTCTCCGTAAACACGGGAAATAGGCAAATGCCGGTAGAGCTGCTACCACCGTGGCTTCTCAGCAAGTTACGAAACAAAGAACCCGAAAAGGAAGCTCCCGGAACAGTGCGCCTCCGCCCGGGCGTGTGTCGGTGCAGACAGCCGGGTGTGTTGACAGCTGCCGCTGTTCTGAAACGGCCTCCACGCGTGGCCGGGACCCGGAGTGCTGCAGGGCCCTCGATGCCCTGTACGCTCCCACCTTCCCCGGCGCTCTCCAGCGACCCGGTGCAAGGACCGTGGGCTCTTCTGACCTTGAGGCAGATGCTGTGTTGGATGGAGCGCTGGCTTTGAGAAACGGGAAGGAACCCCGCAGTGGGTTAGCACCCATGTTTTTGTTCTAACTCTTCTCTCCCTCCCATTTTCCGCTCAGTGTCGACCCCGCTATTCCATTCGTTCATGTTTCTCCCTCTTGCTATATTTCTGACAGTTGTGACTTTGCCAAGAAGTAAATACAAACTAGCAGTCTTTTTCGTTTCTTTCTTTTCCCAGCTGGTAACATTTTGGCTATAAATAATACAGATTGAAGCCAGCTGAGGTGCAACTGCAAGTTTGAATTAGTTCTGAAGTATTGGACGAACCAATATTCTCGACAATTTAAATCAGAAAAAAAAGGCTGGATTTAGAAATCTCACAGTGGCAGAAAACAGTGACATTTTTTATGTCCGAAATGTAGGTCAATGAATCAGATCTTTGTGTATAATTTATAAGCAGAAGACGGATCCCCATGGGGGACAAATGGAATGGGAAACATTTGGAAACTATTTGACTACATTGTGTAGAAAGTTGATGAAGGGGTTGAATTGGTTGGCTTAGTGAAATCTGTAGAAACGCTGTTTTAATAAAACTATATTATTGTCTGCATGTACTTGGTTAAAATATTTGCTCAAAGTACACTGGGATCAGAATTCTTGTTTGGTGCTAGTTGCTGAGGAAGTGATTCCAGCTCGTGGTGACCTCATGTGTGCAGAGTAGACTAACTCCATAGGGGTTTCAAGGCTGTGACCTTTCTGAAGCAGATTGCCAGCTCTGCCTTCTGAAGTGCCTCTGAGTGAGTTCAAACCACCAACCTTTTTGGCTTGTGTGTGCCATGGGACCTGTGGTCAGAACAGTGGGGTCTAATAAGCCCTGGCGAGGATGGACAGAAAGTGAACCCTGGGACACATTGGCATGGCTAGTTGTGAGGATCAAAGCTGTTGGCATCGCATCGAGGAGTGAGTAAGGATAATTGGAAACAGCTTTTTCTTCTGGAATGAATTTGAAGGAAAATTGAAAGCTGTTCTCCTTGGTCAAAAAAAAACAAAACAAAACCACCAGCTAAAAATATCTGTGACTTCAACTTAGTTCTTCACTAAATGCCACTGTACCTTGGTTAGCTTAAATTTCCATTTTGACCCCTAAGTTGGAAAACCAGTAGTGCCGTATATTGGCAACATTTCTTTGACAAAAACAATAGAGTAAAAATTATTTTGCCAGTTAGCGTAAACTCTGAAGTACTTTCAAATGTACTGTTTACAATTTTACATGTCCTGTTTTGCTGGTTGCTTGAGTCTTTAAAAAAAAAAAAAAAAGTGTTAAATGAAGCTCAAAGTTTTCAAAGAATGCTGCTTAGTATTTATCTTCAAGAAGCACAAAATGGAAATTATATAAAATAAAACTAAAAACCTGTCTCAGGAAGTGTATATAGTGTATATAGGCAATAGAAGAATTGGTTGAATTACTTATAAAAGTCAGTTTGGGCACATAGATGTATCTGGAAGATATCTCCCCTCCCAAGTTGATGTTTTTTGCTTATTTGGAAGAGGAGGAAGTATGGGTGGGTGTGTGAATTTTGTGTCATTAAACAGTGTAGGATTTTACTTTATCACTACTGTTTGGGTCCTAGCTGGGTGCTAAAATTGTATGCTTCAGTCCTGAACCAGAATTTTGGCCTCTGTCCAAGATTAGGTAAACTGCCATGGGATCAGCATCCCCAGGCTTTTATTTGGGCATGATACTAAGTTATTTGGGGTGAAAATTAAACCTCTTTTTTTGGCTTTTGGCAATCCAGGTGGAAGATGAAAGGATCCTTTGTTTAATTGTTGAGAGATGTTTTTGTGTTTGTGTAGATAGCTTTGTGTATAGTAGGTTTACTGCAGCTATTTACATTCAAGTTACTGCTGCCACTATTATAAATAACCTAAATAATGAACTACTCAATAATCAGTTGATTTTATGGAATTAAATTAGATAAGCTTTCTATTTGTTTTAATGCAGTAATAATCTAGAGACAATTTTAAACCAACTGATGATCTTAGTATATAGGAATAATTACAGTTGATTTCCCTATAGATTGGTTAAAATAGTTATTTGAAAATGATGAAGAAAAAATTGAGTACCAGTTATGTAATTTTGTGGATGAGACCATGGAGAACTGTAGCAGTAAATACTGGATGAAAGTGCAAGTTAGAGGCTGAGGCTGATTACTCAGCACTTTTGCTGGACGATGGTGCTTTTTGTTGGCTCTTAAAATGATGTAATTCAACAACTTCAAAGTCAAGGTTTTTTCATTTTTATTTGGCCAAACTTAACATTTTTTCTTGATGTGACATAGATATCATCAGATGTGAAAAGAGAACTATTAAGATATTCAGGTAACTGTAGGTTAGTGAAGGGAGTAACAATCTGGAGCTATTTTTGAATTTAGATAGTTCTTTAGCAGCTGGATATATTTAATCTATGCTTTTAATAGATCATGTTTACTCTTATTAGACTCAGAAAGTCAAATAAGGCATTTTAGAAATTATTTTGATTCAAGAAAGGTTTCTCCCCAGATCACAGTCTTGGGTTTTCTAAATGAAATGCACAAGTAGCATGAAACCATGTTAACTGATGGACTTGTGGAATGTGTATTTAACATTTACATTGTATCATTGATATAAACATGGTAATAGACAGTTTATAACTAGCATTGACTTTAGACTCTGGAGCTGACACTGTGTGGAGTTACAGTTCTCTTGAACCTATATGGGTAGCTATCACAGATCACAGTGTCTCAGCTTTAGCGCTGTTGATAGCTATAGCTGGATTATTTGTGGAGGGCTGTTCTATGCATCATAAGGTGTTTAGCACCACCCCAGTGTGTGACAATTAAAAAGATTTCCACAAGTACTGCTTGTACCCTGGGGGATATGAGAACTGCCTGCTGTTGAGAACCACTGCTATTGATCTGTCTACCTTCGCTGGAACTTGTGGCTAACTGTGAGTAAGTAGCAGAGTTCATTAAATGACCATTGCAGAATTATTTATGTGTTAGGGGCCAGGGGAGGGAGCAAAGAGAAAATAGAAGATTGAATAGCTATGAAAGTTACTTTAGGACTTTTTATAATGTAATGCATGAACTCAAATAAAATTTAAACTGTAAATGCGTAGAAATGATGCAGAGGCAGTAAAAATCATTCTTTTTGCTCAATTTTTGAGTTCTTTTGAATTTTTATTTTAATTTGGTTGGCATTCTTTAGAAACATTAATGGATTAGGGTGAGAGAACTTTTTCCCCAAGGGTGGGATGGTGGTGGTAGTGGTGGTTGGAAATGTTATGGAGTCCCTGATGCAAGCAATTAAGCACTTGACTACTAACCAAAATGTAGTTGGTGATTTGAATTAACCAGAGGTCCCTCAGAAGACTTCTGAATGATCACAACCTAGGAAGCCCAATGGAGCAGTACCACTCTAACATAGGGGCCACCAATTAACAGCAACTGGTATAGCTTGGGTTTGGAGAAATATCATAAAATATGATGTACCCTTGTTTAGAAGGAGCTCTGGTAACGTAGTGGTTACGAATCGCGCTGCGAACCTTAAGGTCGGCAGTTCGAAACTACCAGCTGTTCCATGGGAGAAAGATGAGGCTTTTCTGCCCCCATAAAGATGTACAGCTTCGGAAACCCTGTACAGGGTCGCTGTGAGTCGGAACCGACTCCACGGCACATAACCACCCCACCACCACCCTTGTTTGGAATATATGTCTTTATTTAAATTATGTAATCTTCATGAAAATTGGTTTTGTATTTGTTTGATCAATTTCCTGTCTTTTTGAGTATTGGCAAATAGAGTCTTTGACTGGGAAAGACAAATGGAAATTTTGACTAGAGGGAAAATGGAGAGATTGAGTGGTAAAGGAAAGACAAATGGAAATTTTGACTAGAGGGAAAATGGAGAGATTGAGTGGTAAAGGACGTCAAAGACTAAGGGGTTTGTTGTTGTTAGGTGTCATCAAGTCAATACCAACCCATAGCGACCTTATGCACAGCAGAACGAAACACTGCCTGATCCTGGGCCACCCTCACTACTGTTGCCATGCTTGAGTCCATCAATGCTGCCACTTGGCCAGTCCATCTCATTGGGGGTCTTCCTCTTTTTCTCTGACCCTCGACCTTACCAAACATAATATCCTTCTCCAGTGACTGGTTTGAATATGTCCAAAGTATGAGAGACAAAGTTTCAGTAAATAATCAAAGTGATTACAAGTAAGACATGAAGAAGAATATTCTACTGGACATGAAATATATTATTTGAAGAATATTTAGAAATCAAAATACAGGTAGGAGACTTTTGGCTTGGAATGCAGTTGACAACTTTAGAAAGATAGGAAAGTAAAATCAATTAGATGAATCAGTAAGGTTTGGTAGTAAACTGTGAAGGGATTAAGACTGAATTGGAGCCTGTGGAATACTGGTGTAACACTGTAAGATAAGCACTGGACCACAAGACCGGTTTGAACTGAAAGGTCAACTGTTCAAACTTACTAGCTGCTCCTCAGAAATCCTCTTTCAGGGTCGCTATGAGTTGGAACCTTCTTGATGGCACTACCAACAACAGCATGGCTAATAAAGTGAAATCCAGAAAGACTGATTTGTGTGGAAAGGAGGAGTTGTAGTGTGATCTTAGAAGTATCTTAGAAGCCTATTCTCAGACTTGTAGAACATAACTAGTTTGTCTCAATGGGCAGTATTTAAGTTCTTTAGTTGTTTCAACTGATATCTTGTTATTAAAGTAGACATTCTTTCTTTCTTTTTTTTTTTTTTAAGGTTTTTATTGTGGATTGAGTAAAAGTCAATCCACATCTTGTTTCATTACATCTTGTTTCATTACAATGATTGTAATCCCCTCCATGTACCATCAGTTAACAGTATTTCTGTCCACTTTAGCTTTTTTTAAAAAAACAAAAACAAAAAAAACCACTCAGGCATATATAATAATTTACATCTCCAAAGGGCACATTCTGCCTCCTGGCCACCAGCTTTTAGTCCCTTTCTGCCCATAAATCTGGAGTCCTCAACCGCTCCCCCTCTCCATGACTCCATCTCTGCCTCTGTCTGGCGTCGCTGCTTCTCTGGATAAGGTCTCTCATTCTGCTTGTGTGCTTCTCCCTTGATGGTCCTAGGGTCCTCTGTTTCTGGATTGTAAGATTAACCACCCCCCTGTTTTTGTTACAAAACTTATTCTTTTACAATTGTGACAGTCGCAATTAGTCATGATAATATTTATTCTCTGTTGAATCTTACGAATCTTATCCCCATCTCTTTTCACCAGACCAATCTAGACAAGATGAAATCTATTCAGTGGGGACTCTTTCTTTCCCCCCATACTCTTAAATTAAACTCCCTCTTGAAACCTTGTAAGCCAGTCACTTCGTGCCTTTATTGCCCCCTCATTTTAGGTAGCCAATGTCTAAGTTGCCCGTCCCTATCCATCCTGTGTACAGAGGGGATAGAATTGATACTTGATGTGAAGACTCCTTCCGTCTCTGTTGGTATTTAAAGTAACTACCTCTCTGAGTATAGGTCAGGTTCATCAAATTGTAGCAATTTACCCGTTTCCTTTATCCAAAAAAAAAAAAAATTTTTTTTTTTTGTAATCTTCCTCTAGTTGAGTTCTGAATTTTGAGCCATCGAGGCTAGGTCAAATGGTCAAATGGGTATTGTCTGCAAGTTTGGGTGTTCTTGTGCATCTCCCCTCACTTCATATCAGCTGGATGCTTCGTTTTCAGCTCTAGCCCTCTATGGCTAAGTCCTTGTCCGTGGGCTCAAGCGTCTCCAGATCTCACCACACTTTGGACCAACCAGCCCTTCCTCATCTCTCTCTATCACCTCCAGGTCAACAGGAGTCAATGGACTATGGTTGAACTCAGCCCATTTCTTCATTGCTACCGTTCCCCTCTTCCACTTACCAATAGACCAATGTGGTTGCCAGCAAGCTTGCATGCCTGTTCATGTGTACCCTATGAGTTTCAGTCTTAGAGGGGAGTTTGTCCTGAAGGAACTTGACTGCTTGCCTTGATGGCTTCATGGCAAACAGTTGCTTATTCTTGTAGTAGCCAGTCATGCTGACGTTTTTGTTTTGAAGATGTATCTTCTGTCACTCTAGCTGTTCCAGGCTGGTGTGGCCCAATGAACAGATACAAAAAAAAAAAAAAATGTCCACACCTTTATCTATGTGCTTCTGTCAGGCGTTCATGGCTGCTCTCTGATCCTTCTCCTGCTTGGTCTTGCCCAAGATGACGGCTCCGGGAGCAGCTGAGTATCTTGAATTAGAAAGCAATGGATTTCTTGTTTCTGCTACAAATTCCCCTAGCTGTAAACCTTCCTACCTTCTAAATATTCCTTTATACGTGGTTTAGAGTTTTGGGACCATCCCCTGAGCCTGCTTGGTCCGGTATTCTGTGTTTTTGCTGACAGAGCTCTTCACTGCACTTCCACCCGATCCACCATCTTGTTTGTTCTCCTAAAGTAGAAAGTCTTGAGTCAAGATGTTTTTCCTAAGTGTAGTTGTAGTTGTTCTTCCCTTCACCATAACGTGAGCCTGGTTGGGAAAGTTGAATTCGGAACAGCTGGTTATCAAAAGAGAAAATATGTGACAAGAGACTCTTGACTTAAACAGTTTGGAAATATTATGTAATATTTTTGGTTCATACATTTTTAAACAAACAGGTTTATAATGGTTACGCCCTTAAACTTTTTAGGTGCTTCCCAAGTAATGCAGTCAGTTTATATTTATAAAACAAAACAAAACCACTAAAAAACCCAGAAAAACCAAACAAACCCAAATCGATTGTCTACTAATCTATTCCGACTTATTATGACTCTGTAAGACAGAAAACAATTGTCACAAAGGGTTTCTAAGGCTGAATCTTTACAAAAGCTGACTGCCAGCCACATCTTTCTGCTAGGGAGCGGATGGTGGGTTCCAGCTGTCAGCCTTTAGGTGGTCAACAGCCTTCGTCTGTTATGACTACGAAATCTTTTTCTCACAGTTGAAATTTGAGTTCTTGTTAACTTGTTTCTTGATGGTAGTAGCTAGAGCTAATATTTTCATATACTATGAATGATGATTTCTTTTTTCTTTCTAGCACAACATCCAAAGACAAAGCCATCAGAATGACACCTTCTCAGGTTACCTTTGAAATAAAAGGACCTCTTTTACCAGGTACTGTAAAATTTTACTAAAAAAAAAAATTTTTTTTTTGCATTTTCTTACCTAGATGATCATAAATATAGAGTGCTTATTAGAACGGGCCTCAATTTTATGTGACAGTATCTTTAGGTCTTACCTAAATGTCAGAATACCTAATGTTAGAAATGTGCTTGAGTATAGTGAATTCAAGATGACAAAAAAACCCAAAACTTCCTAAATAGCATTTTACGCTCAATATTTTCTAAAAGAGCTATGAGTTTATTTACTTTTGGACCACGACAAAGATGGTTGGGCTATGATTTTTTTAAAAAAGATTTTATTGTGACTTGAGTGATAGTTTACATAGGAGAACATCAGTTTTGCACTCATCCTATCATAATTCATTTCATTGCAATGATTACATTGCCCTCAATGTGGGCTGTGATATTTAAACACATGAAAATTAGGCAACTTTAGCTAATGCAAGAAATTGGCAAACTATTTGGTTGTATGACTTTGCTCCTTACTTACAGTTTTTGTATTTTTTGCTATCAGAACATATTGAAATAATTTTAATGTAAGATACAGCACATCAAAGCAATATCATTTCTCCCCTATTGTAGTACCCAATAGGAGTGTAAGTTTTATTTCACAATCTCACAAATAAGTCAAAGGAATTGGTTATGCAGAGTTATGTACCTGGGTCACATTCTTGTTGTTATGTGCCGTGGAGTCAGTTCCGACTCATAGCGACCATGTACAGGGTTTCTGAGACTGTAAATCTTTATGGGAGCAGAAAGCCTCATGTTTCTCCCGTGGAACAGCTGGTAGTTTCGAACTGCTGACCTTGTGGCTTGCAGCCTGATTCGTAACCATTCCGCTACCAGAACTCCTTACCTGGGTTATATATCTCCTTATTTAACATACTCTGGCTATAAACAACTCTTTGCAATTAAATCATTTCCATTTATGACAGCTTCATGTGCTTTAGAGTAAAACTGTGCTCCATAGGGTTTTCTTGGCTATAATCATATGATCACCAGGTCTTTATTCTGAGATGCCACTGGGTGAATCCCAGTCCCCATCTTTTCCACCATCCTTTCAGTTAGTTGTTGTTGTTAAGTGCCATCGAGTCGGTTCTGACCCATAGCAACTCTGTTTAGGGTTCCCAAGGAGCAGCTGATGAGCTTGAACCGCTGACCTTGCAGTTCAAACTGACTTTGCAGTCCAGCACATTAACCCACAGCGCCACACCAGGACTCCTTTCGGTTAGTAGCCAAGAGCAAACCATTTGCAACATGTAGGGACCTTTGCTCTGATTATACTAGTCTGTTTTTCCATTCTCATATCTGCTGCATTTCTTTCCCCTTTCTGGATTCTTTGAGACTGTCTCAAACTCTGTTTCCTCTACTTAGATCTGTGGAGCACTGTCTTTAACTCTCCCATCTGAACCTCTCACTTTTTACTAGGTTAGGGTCCCTCTCAGCATCCCAGCACTATTTTGTGGTACCTCTTAGTTTTTATAGAATCCTAGCAGAGATGGGCACCGCCATCTATTGGCAGGTTTAATATAGGTTGGAAATAGCTAGTTACTCAGTGCATTGGGTCCCTTAGGTCAAATGTCCACCTCTGACCAGCATGTGGCTGCCTTTGTGAAGGGAAGATGTTAGAATTATATTGTATATACCCTTTTAATGAGCTGTAGGCAGGCAGTTTGGAGTCCTGGGGTGGCGCTGTAGATAAGCACTAGACCAGAAGGTCGTGGTTCAAACTCATCAGCTGCACCTCAGAAACCCTATACAGAGTCGCTATGAGTTGGAACTGACCTGGCAGCACTTAACAGCAACAGGCAGGCAGTTGAAGCTAGAAGGAGCTGACTCTGTCAGGTGAATGGACTGACCACAGAGTTGGCCACGGAAAGATCAGCTTGATGAGGGAGAGCACTTGTTCCCTGAAATAAGAAGGATGGTGATAGAAGGAAGGAGAAAATGGTACAAGTGCATGTAGATGACTCTAGGTAGGAAAGAGGATGTAGAGAGACAGGGAGAGGATATTAGAGAAACTCCCCCTTATCCCCATTACCTTGGTTTCTGTCGGGAGCCAGCCTCTACAAGGGAGTTCGGTTCACAAAGTTGGGAGGTCTGGCGGCGACAGAGATATAGAAAGAATATACACAAAGACGCAAAGAGAAAGAACACAAAACACCCTGAAACCAGAGTGGATGCGACACTGGCGGACGGACCCTGGACTACCGGCATTGTGGCCCCTGCAGGCAGTAAAGCACCGCCCTGCAAACCTTAACGCAAGCCTTGCCAGCTGTAATGCCTCACATGCCAGTCGCATGCCAGTCGTAAGGCACGTGGGCTTTGGTCTGCGCCCTAGTTTTATTTCGGGGAGGAGCTTTACACAAAGGAAGGCGGGGTTTGTTAAGACGGGGTACAGAAGTGGAATGTGATTAATCGTTCAACACAGGACACAAGGATTTACAGGTACAAATTCTAAAACATACATCATAAATTGTCTTGATAATCTAACTTCCTTAATTTTCCAGAAATTCAAGCAAATTATTATATGGCACTTTTCCGGTTCGAATCCCAAGACCTCAACTTGGTTTCTCAAGCCTAATTAACATACCTATAGTACCTAATCTCGGATGGGGGAAAGTGAAAAGGATTGAAAGGCATCCTGCTGTGTCGGCTGGCTGGCAGAGTTTTGCAAGAGAAAGCAAGACACCTAGCTGAATGGTTTTGCACCTGGGGACTATCTGAGAAGGCAGACACCTGTTATTCTTAGGACAAAACCCCGGACTACCCCTTGGGGAAACTTGGCTTTTGGAACTTCCCAGCAAACTTGTTTTTGGAGCTTTTTACAGTCTCGGCTTTAGGAGCAGTTTAATATTTGTCCATGGGTATCAAGGGCTCATGTATTAAGTTAATATCAAACATAACTAAATAATTTGATAAAGAACAGTTTGGACGAGCTTGCCCCGTGGCCAGAGTTTGTTCCTCAGAGAGATTTGTTCTTAGAACCTTAAGCACTGCCAACACAGTGGAGACATTAAGAGGGGCACATTAGGAAACCATTTTCACAGAGGCTACAGTTACAGGAGTTTGAAGCATAGCAGGAATTAATAGGACTAAAGAGAATTATACAGAGCTAGCCCCACAGTGAGTTTGTAAAAGCCAATGAACCCGGGATGTCCGGAGGTTACTTCCTTGAGCCCACAGGGTCTCTGGCCAGCAAGTCTGAGTGCAGCCACGTGCTGGATTTTCGTCCATGACACTGGTCCTCAACACCCCAATACCTGCAGTCAGCAACAGGTTTCCTTATTGCAGCAAAAGGAATTGTTCTCTGCGGAATGTGGGGAGACTGGGGAACCATCGAGGGATGTGGAAACCCACTACTGTCAAGTTGATTCCAACTAATAGAGATCCCATCTTGTAAGACAGTAGAACTGAACCATAGAGTTCCCAAGACTGTAAATCTTGGCAGGAGCAGACAGCCACATCTTGCTCTCTTGGAGTGGCTGGAGTTCAAACTACTGACCTTGCGGTTAGCAGCCCAGTACTTAACCGTGTGCCACCCGGCCCCCAGCAAGATGTTAATGCTGGGAGAAAGGGGTATGTATTAGTTTGCTAGTTGCTGCTGTAACATAAATAGAAGTGGGTGGTTTTAAAGAACAGAAATGATATTTCACTCAGTTTAGGAAGCTACAAGTCTGCACTCAGGGCACTGGCTGTAGGCGTCTCTGGGAGATCTTTCGGCTTCTATAAACCTGGCAGCCCTTGATCCTTTGGTGATCTCCACATAGCACATATCTTCCCCTCCTTGTGTGCTTGCTTCTCCGTGCCTGATCTGCTATTTTAATACCTAAAAAGTTTAAGGATAATATGGCCTCAATAGCATAACAAAGAAAACCCTATTCCCATATGGAATTACACCCACAGATACGTGCCATGGAGTCAGTTCCAACTCATAGGACCTTGTGTACGGTTTCCGAGGCTGATAAATCTTTACTGGAACAGAAAGCCTCTCCTTTCACCTGTGGAACACCTGGTAGATTAGAATTGCTGACCTTGGAGTGAGCAGACCCAACTTGTAACCCACTATGCTACCAGAGTTCCTTATCCACAGGTTTAGGGGTCAGGATTACAACACATCTTTTGGGGGCTGGTGGACACAATTCAATCTATAATAGGGCATATAGGGGGAGAGGGGCATATGAGAATTTTACTTTATGCATAGTTTTTCTAGAAATACAAAACTGTTTAGAAATAAAAAAGTATTTTAGGGGGCTTCAAAAAGTTAATGGAGTGGTGGGGGGTGCAGGCTTACAGGGTATACCCCTTGGTTGGGTGAGGATGCATGGACAGGATGATAACTATGCCAATGAAATGATGGATGATGGAATGAATATAAAGCTGATGTTCTCCCACGTAGACTATCACACAATTCACAATAAAACATTAAAAAAAAAGTTAATGGAAAATTTTAATTATCTCTTAATTCCATTTTTTAAAACTTTTTGAAGCTCCCTTACAGTTTTTAAAAAGGATATGTGGGGGTACTGTTGGCAGTTTACTGTAGTTTTTAAAATATGTTTTATTGTGAATTGTGTGATAGTTTACATGGGAGAACATTATCTTTACATTCATCCTATCATATCATTTCATTGCCATGGTTACAATCCCCTCCATGCATCATCAACCAACCAAAGGGTATACCCTGCAAGCCTGCCCCCACTCCCACCCCCAGTCATCAGCACACAGGGCAGTTTTTTTTATAGTTAGTATACTTCTCTTTATTAATGTTTTACAAGTGAGTTAAAATTAAGAAAAAGATCCTCGTCCTAGTAAACAGTGCTTTTCCTTTTCCACCAAGAAACCACAATTGAGAGGAATCAGCCTAAGACAGTCAGTTTGCAGTGCAATGATAAAATGCAAAAACACATATGTAGGAAACTGGATGACTGACCCTCCAAATTTACTTCTGCCATTAGGACTATGTCTTTTCAGAACAAAAAGCAGCCTGCT